ATGTGCGGAAGAGATGCACAAATAGGTGTGCCAAAAACAACGGCGCTCCATGCCACCGTTTTTAAGATATCTGCGAAAAACCGCAGGGGGGTGTTCAAACACCCCCCCCCCCCGGTTCGGCGCGGGTTTAAAGATGCCCCATAAAGTGCGTCGAATTTGGTGGCGTCGTGCACCGTTGTTTTTACTATATCTGCGTAAGAAAATCTTAGGGATAGGGTGCAATAACTCCCTGGCCCGGGAAAAGTTCATTGTTTTTTTACCAAAGGCATCAAGTAGATTCCTGGCGGATAATATTTGAAAATGTTTCCAAAAGGACAGCATATTCATAATTAAATAATTTCTCGGGATAACGCTACTATTTTTAACTGCGTGTAACAACAAAACGCAGAAATAGTGCCGAGGTAGTGCTGCTCTACTTGTTTCTTTTGGTTGAAAGAAGTATTGTGTTACTGCGCCTCTCAAAAGAGGACGACCAGAGTTAATGAGTCTTGTCGTCTGTTTTGAAATAAGTACCCCACTTACCATCAGCTCAAGTCGGCTTTGCAGAGAGTCACGGTCGAACCTTAGAGGAGGCGCTTCGACAGAGAGCTAGCGCTGTCTTTATTCCTTACATAACCGTAACGAGCACACACAGGGAGCCTCGTGGGATGAATATTTAGATATGTAACACCGAACAAAATAGGCTAATGATTTAATTGCCAAAAACAGAAAAATAGTCAAGGCGCACTGTAATACCACGGCTCCTATGATTATAGTAACGAAGTTTGGCCTTCCTAGTAGGTTTTCCTTCGTGTGGACGTAGCTTTAGAGGTGAGAAATATGCTAAATATATGCCACACAACATCGATTTACTTCTTGCCTATGAGTCCTGCATTTTATTGTTAGAAAGCGGGAAAATTTTAAGTTGTTTACGTTTGCATGGAAAGAGTAAATGACTTAGAAATTAGATATTGCATCAGTAACTCGTTGCAAAGCAACGACTTATTGTTCTTTTTTCGGAATACCAAACGCTGCCCCATTAGCTAGTCGTGCTGCATGTGAGAGAGAATTACGCATTATATGTGCCGTGGCATGGGAACATTTTTTGTTTTGCAGAATTAGGTTTGCATAAGTTTTTCGCCAATACTTGTTGATTGAGGCACATGTGAGCGACAAACATACCCCGCGCCCCGCTGGGCTATTCAGCCATACGCGCCCTGCTGGGGGGGGGGGAGGAGGGGGGGCAGATTCTGCCCCCGAGTCTAACTTCCGAACCGATGGTCGTAGAAAGACGGGGAAAACGGCAATCGAAAGCTCTCAACAAGGCGGATCTTAAGAGCCCAAATTTTTTTGCTTAAGTAGGTCAGAGGTCAGGTCAAGGTCAGGTCAAGGGTACAAAATGCAAGTTTCTACAGTATCGGCCTTGCACCGTAGTTGCCGAAGAATGGACTGAGACTGATTGCCCAAAACGTGTTCTTAGACTACCAAGACAATATTCGTTGCATACAATGTCATTCATAGGTCAAGGTCAAGGTCAGGTCAGGTCAGGTCAGGTCACCAAAAACAAAATATAGAAATAGGCATGTGCGACACATGTTTTATGGGTCATTTTACTCATAGAATTCAATAGGCACACTCAATAAGTGATATGGACCACCTCTGGATGAATTTCAGGTCGAGGTCAGGTCAAGGTCAGGTCAAGTGAGGTCAAATTTTGAAGTTGGTCGTTAAGGCCTAAAAAGGTGTCTATCTGATGCAGTTTTTCACGGCAAATCGAATGGTGCTATTTTTGTTTCCGTACGAGGTCTAGAACTTCCAAAAAAATTATTTTTCAAAATTTGTGTGTGTCGTGACGTCATAAAATTTTGAATAACTCCCACATTTTTGAACTGATTCTTCTAAAAATTGGTATGTAGGTGCACATAGACCACTTCTCTAACATATAATCCGTTTTTTCGATACACTCAAAATTTTGGATTTTATAATTATTTTCCCCAAAAAATCAGTTTTTTGAAGAAAAAAAATTGGGCCAAAATCCAAAATTTTCAAAAAACCGAGATAGCCATTTGATAGACAAAGTAGAATCACGTATAACCTTTTTGGTACGTCTTGATTCCTTTAAAAATGGAGATGTTAGCGGCGTTTGAAATTTTGCCGTTTTTGAGGCGAAAATGGCGAACATGACGTCACTAAAACGTCAATTTCTCAAACATTTTCCGACGGATTTCGCTCAAATTTGCAGGGAACGTGTCAAATCGATGTATAATAAGGTACTGAAAGTTTGACGCCACTGCCCCCCCCCCCCCCCAGCGGGGCGCGGGATACTTTAGGGGTGCATTTACCTAAGCGTTACAGACGCAGATGAATTGGTATGCAAAAATTCGGTACGCTGCAATGCAATCCAATGATCACAGTCAAGACACAGGTTTATTTTATGATAAATGTCCCATTAGATACTGCAGAACATCCACAACCTCTGTGTGTAAGGTTACTTTTGTGCCAGCTTATTGCTACAAAAATGTGTATGATATGGATATCAACTTTAAAATGTGGTTATGAAAATGCCATGTTTAGAAGTGCAATCGATCGTTAAAATCTCCTTCTTGTACCAAATAATATCGCAGTTAGATACGTTTGCTTAGATGATGAAGATTATTAAAATATCTCATCTCAGCAATCCACCGTGTTGACCCTCAGTTCTGCAAACATAAGGCCTGAGACGATTTTCTGACCCGTGAATCGTAAGCCTTCGTAAAACATTACACTTTCGTATACCTCGCTGAGTTCATTCCGCTCTGAAATTACCCCGGAAAACTGTGTCCGCAATATCCCGTGTAATTTAACCGTCTCATCTAGCCAGTGGTCTTACGACTACGGACCCCTGACTGCGGCAAATGTAGTACGAAAGTCGCTGTGGTCCGCCGCGACGTGCAGCGCTCAGTGGCGTCACTGCTCTAACGTCTGGAACAGCTCCGACGAGGCGGGCCGCCGTAAACTCGGCGGCTCTGAGTTGCGATTTCATTTCACGTGAGCCGGCCATTGTCGCCAATCCGGCCGGTCACCTGAACGGCCGGCACCAATCGGACTCGACGGCGGCAGGCAGGATCGCCCAGCTGTTCAGGGAGCTATTTGGCAAAGGCTCAGCAGGTTATCCACCGTGCAGATGCGGCAAGTTCAGAAATTCGCTACATCGCCGGCTAAGTTTCCCAGCGGGGCTGTTACAGACTCCGACAATGGTTTAGGTACCGTCGTTTTACGAAGACCACGGGTTATCTCGTTGTCGCTATGGCTCCTTTGGGCGTTCTCATTTGTACAAAGATTGCTTTCGTCGTACCATCTGCATTGCGCTTCCAGTTCCCTGGATGTAAGTTCAATGTGCCGGGCTGAAAGCGTAACTTCTAGTGTAGCGTTTCGTAACGTTTGGGGACGGCATGATGGTTAAGCATGAAGTAATTGAGACGAATAGGCACACTGACATTCAATAAGTGGTTTCCCAACGGTTCGCTTAGTTTGTAGATAAAAGAAATACTGCAAGAGACGAGTAATGAAAATGAACTGGCAGGGCAAGTTTGGTTAATAGAAGTATAGGCACAGACCCCTGTATGCATATCTCGGTATACATGATAGGCACCTCGGTATACCACTGTATACAGAGGCCCTCATACACATGTATGTCGTTATCAGAGGTCGATGAACTAGGCTATGTCTGTACGTTCTACTTGTAAATTCAACATTTCTTCATCTTTCTAGTAAACTGAACAGTGAACATTCCTTGCTGATGATTCCTAGTATCATAGTATCATATAGCGATATCATGCAGTTCATGGTAAGGTGTTAGCTTTCAAACCTTTAATTCCCTTCATTTCCATTCGCCTCAATGTCATTCTTTCTCTCTTCCCCTCTCTTTCTCTTTCTCTCTCTCTCTCTCTCTCTCTCTCTCTCTCTCTCTCTCTTTCTCTCTCTCTCTCTCTCTCTCTCTCTCTCTCTCTCTCTCTCTCTCTCTCTCTCTCTCTCTCTCTCTCTCTCTTCCTCAATCAATTTTCCTAATCTCATTTCTTCTTGCTACCAGCACTAGTTCCTATTGTTCTTTTCGTTTTTCTTTTTTACCATTCCCGGCATGAATTAAAAACCGGCCAGCTTATCGATAGCTCGTCAATTCAGAATGTTCTTCTTTCATTTATATCTTCATCTTTTCCAAAAAGACACTTCTCCTTTCCGGTATCACTGCTCACTTCAATCATTCTGCCACCCACGCCTTTTTCCCGTCTTCCAGATATAGCACGCCCTGGAGGGTTCTGATCTGTCTTCTGATACGCTGCATCGATAGATTTGCTTTTGTTGTCCGCGGATAAATCATGATTCAGCATCCACAACGGGACTAGCCACGCGGTAGCAATTTCCATTACCACACTGGGGATATCGTCAGTTGTCAGATGTGATGTTCTTCCTGACTAGCAGTGCAGTGCCACACATTGCTCATATTGTTCGTGTCTGCTTGAAGGCCGAATAAGGCGGTAGCCATTGCTACTGCTTTTATGATCATGTGCAACATGGAGGAACAGTAGGCAACTGCAGCAGTGGTTTCTACTATTGACGGTTCGGCGGTTCGGATAATGGCCTGTGACGGCGTCTGTTTCACGCGGTCTGTTCTATGTATGTTGGTCCGGCAGCAGCGCGGTTGGTTGTTCTTGCGTCGATGGTGCTGCTGCTGCTGATGATGGCCTGTCATGGAGCTGGTGCTGACCTGGTGCTGACGTGGCACTGCTGGTGCTGTTGGCGCTGACCTGGTGCTGCTGATGCTGACCTTGTGCTGACCTGGCACTACTGGTGCTCACCCGTGCTGATCTGGTCCTGTTGAAGTTGACCAGCTGATGACCTGCCATTGCTGATGTTGACCCGTGCTGACCTGTGCAGACCTGTGCTGACCTGTGCTGAGCTGGCACTACTGGTGCTGACCTGCCACTGCTGATGTTACCTGGCGCTGACCTGTGCTGACCTGGTGCTTCTGGCGCTGCCCACAGACCATGCAGTTCCCGGCGCGACTTCTGGCGGTGTTCCTGCTGGCCGTATTGGTGGCAGCGCTCTGTTGTGAGGCGCGGTACCTGCCCACCCGGTCAGACGATTCCAACGTGCGGGCCATCAAACAGCTTCTCACCGCGGTAAGAACAGCTCACCTGATATTTATGTCGATAAATCTATCTAGATAACATTTCATCAAAGTGAGATGAATCTTCTGCGATTACCACATCGGAAAAAAACTATAAAAGAGCAAACGTTTTCATAATAGAAAGGTTGTCAATATAATCAAATATGAAGTATAAAACTTTAGCCCTCTATTTTCACCATCCTCCTGCTCCGATCAATCTCTCTTTGCGGTCAAACTAACGCTTCCGCTTCTGTCGCAGATGCTGAACAATGCCGAGCAGCAGCAGTACCCGTCGCGGCTGGACCAGCTGCCCAAGACGGTGCTGTTCTCGCCCAACGCCGGCTACGACTAGTGGCGGGCCGACACCTCGACCAACGTGTTTGACCTTCAATGACCCGCCTTCGACAAGCACCGACCGCCTTCCGGCCGCCTGTGAAGACCAAACGCCCGGGCTGAGTGCCCTAAACGGCGGGCCCCGGGCTCGTGCAAATCCCTGAGCGCGGCGGCCCTCCAGATACCACGACGGCGGCAACAAGCGCAGCGCTGAGCCGTCTAAATCTAACCCTGCTCCGGCCTGTAGTGGGTGACATCACCAACATACTGGCAGATCTGTAACGATTAGTTAACCCGTCCTGGTCGGTTCTCTCAACCTATCAGGTGGCACATTTTGGTAGTCTCAGACTGGGATCTACCGCGTCGGCCTCTCTCATGCCAGTCACGCGGAGCGGTGTATTGATGATGATGGGAATCATGAGCTCTGAGATTCCGCACAGGTTATTTACAGTCAGTGGGGCCACTGGTATGGGAGAGGCTGTGAAAAGGCCAGCGAGCTGCGTCACTCTATCACGAGAGGCTGGATACGTGGTAGGGGATGCAGTAAAGACGCTGCCGCCGTCTAAAGTTTGCTAAAATTTCGCACTTCAGTTGGAAAGCTTATCATGTATAGCGCTGGAGGAGACATGCAACAATAAACAGCTACACAGTGATGCATTGACATTGTTCTGTTTGACATTGTTGTGCATTGTTTGTAAATTGGCTGGTTGTTATGCTTCACTCAGTTTGCCAACGTTTTAGTTGTCTAATTCACAAATCGGAGGACAAAGATGCTACCATGTAAAGTTGTGCCTACTTCAGCCATCTTTCGCCCTTTGTGGTCTGATCAGGTGGTCTCGGGTTCAGGAGCTACTGTCGATCAAGTAATAACACCGTCGTTTTACGTGTGTGTTGTGTGTTTAATATATAATATACTTATTAAATGATATTACTAAACACACTATTTCATAGCCTGGCCGAAAGAGAGAGGCGGGAGCCAAGACAATATGACTAAATGCAGCCTGCGCTGGTGTTTCCAACCGAACAATGAGCCTGATTGGGCTCAGAAGGTTATGTGAGCGGAGTTTCGAATACATTTGATGTTTGCTATCTTCGCATTGTATGTATTTACCTTGCAAAACGAAAAACAGCATGCGACGTGCAAACGGAAACGTCAGTTTTTATATCGTGGCTTAAAAGCTCGACGCAGAAGGCCTAAGCCGCTTGATCAATACGATTATGCGTAAACGCACATGTAGCGTAGCGCAGTCATCTTAACATTTTCACGAGAAAGAAAGAACGCTTTGTTGTGGCCTACACACACGTGATCTACCACTGATGAGTGTGAGTAGGTAAGTACATCGGTGGCGTGTCTTTGTTTTGTTCTCATCTCTCTCACACACCAGCTCACGCTTCTCACACCTTCCCTCCACTCATCCTCAGTTGTCACCCCTCCCCTCCACAGTCCCCTCACATCCCATCATGACACCATGTGGTCGCTCGCCGAACCATTGGTCATCGCGCCACCAGCCCAGCTCTCCGGCCATCTGCGGAGATCGGCACAGCACGGCCGTATATGCCTCTGATCGGTGCGGCGTGCTTACGTCGGCTATCACGCCCTGAGCAGATGGCCGTGTGGAGGATAGTGATGGTACGGCTCTCAGGCTTTGGTGGACATCGGGCTTAGTTGTGTGTGTAAGAGGAGCGAGCAGGAAGATGGAGGGAAAATATGCTTATAGGCAGCCAAAAGCAAGATTTACCGCATTCCATGCTCGCGCACTTCAACGACACAAGTGCAAGTGAATAGCCCGCGCCCGTAAGGATAGGGGAATCGGAAACAGTCTCTTCCTTCTTCCCTTGATATAGCCAAAATAATGCCTACTGATTAATCGTCACCAAAGTCTCAGAAACACATAAATTGTACAATTCACTTTTACAAAAAAAGGAGGTTGTGATACACCGCCTGGAAATAACGCAAGGGTGGCGTTAAGGCCTGGCTACACTATGCGTTTTCTGCGTGCGTTTTTTGCGAGTTTGCGTGATATGCAGAATATCGTTCTAGAAAGAAACGAAATTAAGTTTTTGTCATATGTTTTTCATATAAACTTTTAATTAACATAAACGTTTTATTATTTTTTTATAGCAATATTAAAGAAGTTTATTTAATAATAACCCTTTTTCTAGAACGATATTACGCAAAACCCGCAAACACGCAAAAAAACGCACGCAGAAAACGCATAGTGTAGCCAGGCCTTTATGCTCTGAAACTAAAGACCTCAAAAAGTCTGCGGGAAGAGTGGTCATGATCAAGCCCCTAAAGTATGTAGCTTTACGCCATTCATGATGAAAACAAGTATCTAATAAGCAGCTCAGAAATCTTAAACACCGTCTTAGGATTTAAACCCGAAATTTTAGGCCAAAAGTGGCGAAAATTCTTAAAAAAAAACGAAAAAAGTCAAAAAGCGCACTCGAACCGAAGTGAGTAAAAATTGGCAAAACATTTTTCTTTCCCTCAAACAACGTGCAGTCTCTGAATATTTCAAAATTGAACACAATCGGACAAAAAGTACAATACGTGACCTTATTCAAAACTTAAGGAGAAAATATGCCAAATGCTCGGATGCTTCCAGCATTCTAGGCGTGGAAATGTATACGACCTATTCACAGAAACCATTACCAGCTACGGTCGTGGAAGTATGTACTATCTAGTATCTAAGTTGCATAACCGGAAATTTTTCATTTCAGAGAAGGTGGCGCGTGCCGCTAGCTGTCCCCGGCAGGTATCATCGCTCTCCACCCTGACACCTTGTCGTGACTCGCAAATATGCTCATTACCCACCGTCTTTTATATGCGCAGATAAGCTCATGCACTAACCAACATTATACTCACCATAGACTCTCTGTAACAAGCTCAAGGGCTTCTTGAGCCAGAAGATAGTGTAACATACCTTTCACTGTCTCGTCATGTTATCGTAAGGTTTCGTTTTTAAAGACGCGTTTCGCCCAGCATCCTCTTGAAACATGGAAAACGTATTGCCAAGTTGATAAATTCTTGCCTGCCTGGTTTGCACAAGTGCACCCTTGACAATGAAGTTGATGTGGCTTTCAAAGACATCTCGAAGGAACGTCACTAAACATGCGTACAATTTTAACTGGACAACAGTCCAATTAAAGTTCAGAATGATATACGGGTATAGGCAGAAAGCGTCAGAGGGCATTCAAAAATAAAAACTGCAAGATACCATGACACTACCAACGAATACCTGACGACTATGCCTGCAGAACACTGCCAACGCGTCTCATCTGCGTATGTTCTCAGGCCCGAGCCACATCGATTGTCCTGGATAGCAGCGCTGTGACCCGAGTGGCGAGGGTCATTATCGGCAGTATCAGACGCCGGAAGGTTGCCAGAAGTAGAAACCCGGCACGAGCCGCACTGGCACCTTTGTACATACCTCTTATGAAACGTGCTAGAAAAAAAAACATGATGTCCACGACTCCACACAGTAGGCATGGAAGATAGACAAGGGAAGAATTTTCATCAGTTTTTTTTTTGTGAGTAGGAGGGCTCGAATTGCTGATTTATAATGTAAGCTACGCAGCAATGCAATAAGGTCAAATTTGCACAATAATTATAATCTTTTTTGCTCTTCAAAGGGGAAGGAAAAAGTGCAATGATAATTTTCACCACATTGCATAATATGCATAGATTCCCCTGTCAACCCATGTCCCAATGCGAAACACGATATCTATGTGTTGCACATCTTCATCATGAGGTAGCAAACACGCAGGCGTTGCACACTCAGCGGGCAGGACAGCTAGAGGACAGGACAGCGGAAAGCTTGACCACCAGGCGGACAGGACAGCCAAGCAGGTGACCATCAGGCGGACAGCGAGCGGAAAGGCGGACACGCGAGGAACAGGAAGACACAGGACAGCCACAATGGGACACGTGTTGAACAGAGGAGAAGAATGCGCGGTTGCCAGAGGTAAACAATAGAGTACAAAGGGGACACTGGGAACAGAATGCGTAATGGTGGCAAATTAGGCCCATTTATGGCCGCATAAGGCATAACAGGCCTAAAAATAAATCGACGCTGATCGAACGGAAGCCTCTTCTGACCGCCTTGGCTTTTGGCGTGTATGTAATAGCAGTTCGCTCACGTATATGCTACGCGTTTGGAGGTTTAGCCCTCGCCGGCCGAGGGGGGGGGGGGGTGCCGCCCCCCCCCATAGGGTTTTTTCGCGATAGCTCCGAACACGCTGGCGATAGAGAGCTGAAACTTGGCATACCTGACCTTTGATCCAAGCCGCATCTTTTGACACCAACCGCATTTTTGGGTCAGGTCAGGTCACTGACCTATGACGTCATAAGTGAATCTCTGCACGGTCTTCAGATGTCGCAACTTCGCAACGCCCTCACTGCCAGAGGAGATGTCACAGGGAAATGAAACTTGCAGGATCTAGTATCCATTATGAGTCTCACAACTTGTATATCTCGGATTTTTCCTAAAGGTCATATGAGGTCAGGTCATTTTCGTGACCTCACCATTATTACGGAGCGAGCGAAGCGAGCGGAGTCTTACGTAGAATAACGGAAATTTCTGAGTATGAGCGGCCGGCCGGCCGGCCGTGGTCACGATTCTACGACGCTTATATCTCAGCAACCACTTGACCGATTTCCATGCGGTAATTTTTGTAGGGTAGCTTCATTCCTTCTACCAAGTATTGGACTATTCCCGATGCATGTGGGTGACCCCCTATGCACGTGCCACGTGCAAAACGAAGAGGTGTCACTTTTGTAATTGTTGCAATATCTCGGTAACTACTTGGCCGATTGCGCTGAAAGTTGGCATGTAGGACTAGGCACCCACTAGGCAATGCATATCCATATGCCAGAGTTGGGGTGCTGCTGCACGTGCGCACGTGCAGGGGTCGATTCCAGATCTCGAGAACGGCTGGACCGATGGCGCTCAAATTTGGCACATGGTTAGGGACCGGTTAGTAGGGTGCCGTGCAAAAGTCAGTTGGGACCCATTTTGCACGTGCGCACGTGCAGGGTGCCGCTTCCAGATCTCGAGAACGGCTGGGCCGATTGTGCTCAAATTTGGCACATCGCTAGAGACCGGTTAGTAGGGTGCCGTGCACAAGTCAGTTGGAGGTACCCCCTCGCAATTTCGCACGTGCAAGGCCCACCCTCTCGCTCGCTCCGTTAGTCGCCCCAAAAGGCGTTATACTGGTAAGTCAATGGGGAAAAATGAAAACTGCTATTCTGGCGCCGGGAACGATCTCCAACTATCTCAAGCACACAGAATCGTGATTTGATGCACTCCTTGCAAGGTTAGATGCGTCACTTTTGCAATGTTGACCTTCCGTGACGTCATTTATGACGTCATCAAGGTCATATTAGTTTTTCGTCAATAACTCCCGACCAAATTGAGCTAGCGAGTCGAAAAAGCCACCAATGGACTCAAGAAGACCTGCCGAATCGAATGATATGCGACATGACCTCTTTCGACCAACTTCGTGACCTGGGGGTGCTGACCTGACCTTGACCTGAGGTCAACACCCTAAGTTGACCTGACCCGAACAAAAAGTATATCATTCGACGCGCCTGAGCGAGGCGAACACGATGCTGCCAAAATTGCGGCTCTGCGGCCGTTTTTTGCGAAGTTATTCACTAAAAACTGAACCGTACCTTGGGGCACTTGACCTGACCTCAGAGGTCACCGGTTGACCTAGGACCTTAAAATCGGGTACCAATCTCTGCGTCTCGTAACGGCGCAAAAGCTCGTTTTTTCCGCGACGCGCTAGCTCCACCAGGGGCGAAACGGCGAGAGGGGTCGTACCCGCCCCCCCCCCCCTCGGCCGGAGCGTATGTAGAAAACCAATAGGTCCGGCGAGGGTTAGGTTTAGAGGTTTGGAGTTAAGGTTTAGGGTAGGTGTGTGAAATTATGCAGTTCCTTGTATATTGTACATGCTAATATGATCCACTTTCCATGGATACCTACTTGTAAAACGGGTCAGCAAATACTGATGGGCCAATACGGTGCAGGTAGAATTAGTGTGATAGTGAAAGTAATTGATGTAGTGAATAGTGATAGACCTATCCACTTATGGTTCCGCGGCATTGTCAATTGTTCTCCTAAAATCCATCAACGTTTCGCCCCACACCAGCCATTGGCCGTGAGTAGCTGACGTGAGACTGCCGTGCCGGGGTCGAAGGCCGGCGTCCCAGCCATTCACCGCCTCCTAGTGGACATGTCCGCGGACAGGTGTCCTCCCCGCCCCCTGTCCTACCACCCGCGGACAGTTCAGCGACATACAACGGCCGCTCACATACCCGTGAGAGAGCACGCATCGATCACACAAGTGGCCACAAAGACCGACTGACAGCTGCCGAACAATGCAGATCGGAACGATACCGGGCTGCTAGCAGCCATTTGCACAGCGAGCTTAGTTCGGCAAAAAATGGCTCTATCCATGTTTAGGTTGTAAACCGTATACGGCCTTGAAAATTGCGAGTATAAAACTGGAGCATATACATAAGAAATACGAAATTATTCATTTCGTTTACGTTTTTTTTTTGGCACCCATCACGTGTTCTATTTTTATTTCACATTAACGTATGATCGTGTGACGGTGTGCAACTAATTGACCGTGATATTGTAACGCAGTCCTGTCTGATTTTACTGCACCTAAATACATAATGAATGATTGAAAAGGTCATGAAAACCGGTAAACTGTTTTCCTAAAATTCACGTTTTCATACCAGTAACCATGCATTCAGCATCATTTCATGTTATATATCTTCACAATTATTAAAAAAGACTAACTTGGATACATCGGGTGCTTAAAAGCAAAACGCTTATTTTGAATTTTTAGCTACACTCATTGTTTTCAACACATTTCATCTCTGTATTAGCATGGACGTGGCAGTAACATGACACCAACAACAGGTTGATAGGGGAAACAAATTAGTTGAGAATGAAGTACACCTGTCTCCATTCTCCCAAAAGCACATACAACAACACACCGCACAGTATTACTGTTATCCATGACATTTATTTACACATGTAATATCTTTTCCAAACACATTCATGAGTACACAATGGTCAATGAGTTAGCGAGTTACGTCAGTCGATCTTACAGTGTTCAACAGTTAACCAGTGCAAACATTCCATAACAGACCGACTGGGTGGTCAGCACTCCTAGCACGATACAGTCTGCCATTACAACCACTCTATAGTACACTGTCGTTCAACAACTTGCAATACAACACATTTCACTGACGTAGCCATTTAAACACACACACGAGCGTTCAGACTCCCACCCACGTCACCAATCTTGATCAGACCTATGGCTGTCACGGACAACCATTCATGGCACACTCCTTACTCGCTCTGTTCACTCGCTCACGCCCGTTCTGCTCACGGATGACGTCACACTTTGGCGACCAATCCGGTCACACTGCCGGACAGCGGTGCAGTTTGACATTGTCCACGTGAGTGGCGAGGTTGACAGCGTGTTTGCTGACGGAGAGTCGGCGCAGACAGCCGGTGAAGGGCCGATAACAGAAGAACGGTAGCCCGGCTGGCAGCGAGGGTGAACCGCCTGGAGGCACACGGAGTCGGCACGGGTCAGCAGCGGTCAGCACAGGTCAGACGAGGTCAGCATAGGTCAGAGGTCAGAACAGATCAGAGGTCAGCACAGGTCAGAGGTCAGCACAGGTCAAATGAAGTCGGTGAAGGCCACACCAGACCTGACTAAGCGGTGCTTAGGGACCTTGAATAAATCGCATCACGTCAGCCTCAACGCGTTACAACTCGGAATTAACGCATCATAGCGAAACTATGGCACAGCTACGGGTGGGCACCACTTGTCATGCACAGATCAAAAGATGTGATCAAAGCACCATTTAGATCAGAAATGTTATTATTAACAACACACGGCGCAAAAGGTCAAGACAAAGAAATGCACTGTATAGGGACCGGGTTACTTATTTGGATGTGTGGCGCTTAACCCTCGCCCGCACATGGGGGGGGGGGGTGGTTGCCACCCCCCCAGGTAGTCTTTCTGCTCTGCACTCAACATTTTTAGAGCTAGAAGGCTGATTTTTCGTATAGCTGCTCCTCTATCCTTTCTTGATGTCCACTGAAAATTTCAAGTTTCTGTGACCTTTGGTTTCGGAGATATGACCTTGTTTTTCAGGTCATGTCATGACCCAAATGGCCAATTCTCGACATCTTGCGTTGGCTATGGGCCTTGTGAGCTTTTGACACCTTGATTTCGGCCTTTTTTACCAGTCTTACCTCCCACCCATCATGGAACATGTTGTTCGACGATGCACAGATGTCAAGGTCAAGGTCAAGGTCAACCTAGGTCATCTAAGATAATTGCGTTTTAGGCAAGCGGAATTTACTTTTTGTGAAGTTTTTTGACTGCATTTTTGGTAAAAGCTTCTCAGATCATGATTTCATGTAATATGGACACATAAACAATCGGTGCACACATCAGTATACACACAGACACACACAGACATACAAACACATATAATTGACCTTGACCTAACTTGACCTGAAATGACCTCAGCAGCAAAAACCTGGTCGGGTAGTATGAGAAAGAGGTTCTAGCTGGCTTGGCACCAGAAAACGGCATCGTTATCGGTATATGATAAGCAGCGCACTTGATATCCAACGGTGACCCAAAACAGCAACATTTTTTAGTTTGACCTGACCTGGAAGGTCAATGACTGACCTGAGAAAGTAAAACTGGGTATCATTGGATTCGTCTCTTCCCAAAGAATCTTTTTGGTCTTTACCGCTAAGCTCTATCTCCAACAGGAACGAAATGGCGCGGGGGGGGGGTGGCAACCCCCCCCCCATGTGCGTTCTAGGATGGGAAAATGGCATGTGCGGGCGAGGGTTAAAAGACAACCATTTGGGTCAGTAGAGCTTTGTACATGGGGTTGGGACCAATCAGACAGCAACATAAAATAATACTAACAAAAACTATGCGAAAACATCGTTTAGGTACTGCAAAAATGTAAGGTTTCGATGTCCACGGATAAATCAGATACGCCCTGGGTCGCGTACGTTTTTGCATGGAAGCTTATGTCCCCCTTGTTTACAATATGGGTAATTAGATAATACAGTTACCGTCCGACTTGATCATTTCCTAATCTGCATCCCTCGTCATGTTTTTGCCCGGTGACGGGAGTGCGCGCTCCCAACATGTTGCACGCTGCAGATCTACTGAATAATTAACGCCTCACTCGCGCGGCCGGCAGCTACCTGACGGCGCCAACGCACCTCACAAAGGCGCCCCAAAATAGCGCCGGCGGGGGCGCGTCCGGCTCTCTGCGACTCCCGACCGGGCCATGCATTGATCGTTGCGCTTTGGGTGGGTCTGCAGGGCCAAGGGAGCGGAACGACTTCTGTCGGCTCCTGGCGCCGCCGTCACAGCCGCCGCGCCTCTCTTATGCAGATCAGGCGTCTCTTTGACGCCAACCCAGCTGACCCCTCGCCTGCGCGCGGCACGCCTCCCCGACCCCCAACTCGAGCCATGCCGACATCCGCCGGTTCGAATGGAGAGCATCTCCGGAAGGAAGCTGACGGCAACTCAGCCGACGTCTTGCCGGTAACTTGTTATGCTCTACGGCCGGCGAAGAGTTATGTAGAATGCATGTGCAATGTGCAGAGTGCTTGTTTGCATGAAGGGAAAGTTGGGGAATATTTCCCAAATTTACCGTTGTGCTTAGACCCAGCCGTGTAGAAGGTAACCTCTCCGTAAATCACCAAGGCTACAAACCGACAGAAGATGATAGTTGAGTCACGTTCTAGCTTAGACTGCAGCAAAATGAAGACAGCAAATGAATACATTTCTTTTTCAGCGAATTCGTATCCACGCTGCACACCTAACCGAACCCAATAAGCGGAACGGGCTACTTCAGGCCCACTATTTCGATCACGTCTCTTACGCTGCATCTGCGCACTATTCGAGCGGTGGGATCCGTTCGAGTGGCATCTGGAGAGGTGCACTACACGAACGTTTTCCTTGGACGTGGTCCTCGTGTTCCGGCCATTTTCCAGGCCGACTGTCCCGGCCCGGCGCCCGCACAAACTTCATCTCATCAACAAGTGGAACCAAGTCTGAATACAGAGCACGCCGCACCGCGTTCGTGGCTAGTCGTTACTGGTGAGCTTATCATGGAGCTCAGTCACACAGGGTGGGCCGAAAATGTACATACCACCTCGCCGCCGCCGGCTTTTCCCAAATGCGCTGTGTATCATGACCGAGCTAGTTTATTACCACGCAATGGTTTTGATGTCACATCTGTTGCATGCGATGGCTATATCCGGCGTGCATAATGTAGGCAGGCGTGCCTTGCGCAATGTGCATATCCGCAACAGCTTCGCTTTGGGTTCCGACAACACCAGGACAATGCATGGTATCTGAACTCCGATTTGTATTATTTAAAATTTTCTTCCATCATTTTTTACTATAAACCTACGTAATATATGCCATTTCCAGAAAGACAAAATACTGAGGAATGGACACCACCACAACAGCAGCCACAACTCCTCACAGAGATGTTTGGTTAACCCTCTTCAATTTAGCTCACACAGACAGCTGGGAGCAGCTAATCAATCAAAGCCGTTAGTTTCAGGCGACACCACAATATTTCCACGAAAAGTCATCCGCCGCCGCCAAAACTACATTCTCTTCTTAGACAAGGCCTGGAATCTGGACATAATCCATATCCCTGTAACTGATCGCATTAAGACAGCCATTGCTATAAGGCTTCTTTAAATTGCACGTTTCTGATATCGTTTTTGCCCTCTGTGGACGCATGTCAACGGACATGCGAGCGTGCCCCTGTCATATGCCATTGTAGCATCCGGCGCGGCGACCGGCGCCATTGTTGTGGCGATGTCAGAAAGGTCTGACATCTATTTGTTGTCTGATGAATGAAAACGACTCACGATCTGAAGCATTGCTGATCATATTCCGAGCAATGAAATCTGTTCGTGCACCAATGCAGAACATATCGCTGGTATGTGCAATGTGCATGTGATCGATGGGAACCGGGCTAATGGCTGTCAGGTCACCATTTCAACCGAGCTCCTTCGGACCTGTCCTACTTCGCGCCTACATAAAGAACCAAAGACCGCCATAACCGTGCATCAAGACCAACAACCTCACGCCTGCACTCCTCTAATTAGCGTGAGAACTCTGACACTGTCTGTCGGCATCCACCGACCAATACAGTCCACAGCCGTCCGTCGCGCTACGTTCTCACCCCAATGACGTCACGGGTCATTCATTGCGTCCACCGGACATTGGTAGACCGGCTCATTTGGCGGCGACCGGCCTCTTCTCTGGGCCGCTCCCAGGCGGCGCTGTTTGTCAGCAATTACCGAGCGGCCACTTACTGCCCGACGTGCCGCGGACATTAACGGAACACAAACAGCGGCACGCAGCACACTGTGCGTCGGAACGGACCGCGGATGTCAGAGCGAGCAGCGGTGGCAAAAGTTCCGATATGTGACAGATATTGGACTGATCGGGCTGAGAAAGGTGGATTGGATATTGTGATATGAAACGTGATATTGGAAACAGCAGAGGGGCACTTCACTTTTTGGATTCCCGTTCAAATTTCAATAATTATAAACACGGCGCATTAGCAGAGGTGAATGCTGATAACGTTTTCCCATGCTAGATCGGAAATCCTGTTGAATATGTTCGCAATTTTTACTGAGATGCTTGCTGCAACGCAATACCGGAACACAACTCCCGGCAGCGGGACATAAAACAAGGTCATTAAGCCAGCTTCCGGACCAAATCAACCCATCAGATTTCGCCGAATATGGAGATGTCAGCCGAGGCCGTCCTCTCTCAGACTGCAATCCAGTCGGGTGGGCGGTTATCTGGCGATCTCTGGTGCCCCCAGCCACCCTGCGCCGGTCATAGAGCCAGTCAGGCAGCGGAAATCCGTCCCTCCCAGCCACTGACTATGGAGCGGCAAAGTTGCTGACCACAACTTGTAACGGCGACATCCGTCGAGTTGGACTCGTCTTCCTGTACTCGGCGTGAATTTTCGCTCGGTGCGGACTTTGATCGGTAGCCTCTACATGTATGGGCAGGGTCAGTGGCTTACATAATGCTAGATGCCACTGCTGGTGTTAAGTCTGACTATCACAATCTGAGAGTATGTAGCATACATATGCAGCTACCGCAGCCAACAAAACGCAAACAAAAAATCCTAAGCATATCTCTTTACGAGATCTTCATTTATCTCAGTGATATGTTTTGAATACATGTCAACTAAAACACGTTGTCTATATTTGCTTTAAACCCGTATCTTCCACAAACTCTTGCTCTCTCACTCCCGCCGCCCATCGCCCACCTCTCCCCGCAGCGTTGCGGCGCAGTGGCCGGGCTCTCCTCGGCGGGCCGCTGCTCAGGTGTCGTGTTTACCGACGTCACCGCTGTGCCAGGCGACGGCGCCGTTTTGGAGGCGCTGTTTGCCTCGCCGTCGCCTGTTCTATTTGCCGGAGACGGACGTGGGAACGGAAGCAGAAGCGAGGGAAGACGGTGGACAGAGAGAGGGCGTGATAGGATTAGGACGGCAGTGTGGACAATGGTGGCGAGGCGACAGCGCAGCTGCTAAGAGCCAGACGTTCCCTCACAGATTTATCGGAGATGAGTAAAGTGGCTGAAGTCGATAGAGCTGACATTGAAACCAAAAGCTAAGCATTTGTGTTAAATGTTCACCTTGTTATAAAGAGTGGAATATTTGTGTAGCTTATATTCTCGCATAGTGGATAACGAGACCTCATGGCTGTACTTGGACTTTTGAAGGTGATGATATGACATTTGTAAAACAGCGTAGGGCTGAGACGCTTGTTTTATATTTGCCCTGGGTACTGGGTAGTGGACAACACATTTTCTCATCTACCTTACCCAAGGGACGGCCAGATGAACAACGGAAGGTTTTCAATCCTTTTTCAGAGCTAAATATGTTAAAACAAATTTATTGACCGTCTTCCAGGGTTTGAGCTATACTAATGGCATGGTAAATAGCCTTCAGACACGTCTGTTCGTAACGTCTCTGAAGCATAGCTTATTCTGCAGAAGAGGGCATTGCCATAGACGCCAGAACAAATGCTCTGTCCAAGCCTAGTCGGGTGGCATTAATAACCACATAAGAGCAATCGACGGGCTATTTATTCACACATAGAGACCAGCCAACGGCCTCTTCACTGAGCTCTCACAGAGGAAAATAATCCCGAGCGGGGTACAAAGCTGGTACAACCACGTGCCATGGACTCCCTTGGCATTTTGCAGCCACGTACAACATATGCACAACATATAGAACGAGGTTACATATAGAACGAGGTTGACAGTAAAGCTGTGCACGGCCACTAAAGCAAAATATTGCATAGACCCGTCCCATAATATCTCGGCAAGAAGCCCAGTGTCAACATTTTCAGGTTTTATGCTCCAATTTTGCAGCAGCCATGACGGGGAAATAGGTTCACTTATCCGCTTCTCGCCGCCACGTCACTAAGATTCAGATGAGATCGTATGCGTTGAAAAGGAAATGGCATGCAACATACCTGCTATGTGCGTGGCATGCTTTTTTTTAGAACTTTCACCACTGAAACTCTGTATTTGTATTTTGCATCATCCTGAAATGTATTAACCCTCGCCGGCACAGGCCATTCCTTCGACGGCACAAGGGGGGGGGGGGGTACGACCCCCCCTCGCGTTTGGCCCCTGATGGAGCTAGAGCTTCGCGGAAAAAACGAGCGTGCTGCCCGTCACAAGAGGAAGCCAACGATAACCAATTTTAAGATCCTAGGTCATCGGTTGACCTTCCAGGTCAGGTTAATGACCAAAAAATCGGGAATATCGGGACCTGTTAGAAAGTCGTAAAGTGTGGCTGCTAAGGGGTTTTTCGGGGTGCTGATCACGAATATCGTGTTAGTTTTGATCACAGATGATGTCGTTAAGCGTTTAGACCAGGTCGGGTTAGGTCAGGTCAGGTCAACCGGTAGGGGTCGTGACGGGTATTCGTAGTACCTGTCATCCGCCTCTGACAGCTTCGTTACATGTTACGAAGGCACCAAAACTACTTCGTTAATGTTCAAATGGTTGCTAAATTCGAACTCAGCTCCAAAATCTAGCCTAGAAACATGTAAAACTCGAAAAAGTGAACCGAGGTCATCAAAGGTCAATGACCTGACCTGACCTTCAGGTGACCTTGACACCCACCCTAATGCATGAGAGCAACACCAAATCACATGTTTGAACGTTTGAAACCACGAAAAGCTTGCAAACGCGCGGCTAATGCGAGCCGACATACGCCGAATCGCGATTCCGGCCAAACATGTTCTCGGAAAAGAGGTCAAAGGTCAAAGGTCATTTAAGTCAGGGCCATGAAATTTTCAGGGTAGGTGTAAAATTGATCAATGCGAGGATACTGAAAGTTTCGTCGTGATCGGCCGCTTTTTACGCGAGTTATTTGCAAAAAATATCCTTAGGAGGGTTGCATCGCCGGCGAGGGTTTATCACCGAGCTTCTTCAAAGAACGCATGCATACTTGCATAAGAGGACATAAGAGCACAAACAAAACGTAACATTAGCCATGCACCCAGCATTTCCCTTTCCCTCTCTCACCGATATAGAGTTTTCCGTCTGTGTGAAGCCGGGAGCGGCCCCTGGCCGGCCGCGAGGTCCGCTCCGGACGGTGGCGGTCCACCTGGATCGAGGCCCAGCGGCGGCGGCGCCGCACCCGCACACGGTGCCACGCGCCGTCACTGACCGCGTGCTAAAATACAACGGGAGCCGTCACTGACTGAGTACTGAAATAAACGGGAGGGCGTTAGTAACCGTGTGATAAAACGACGGAAAGCCACCGAACGCGTATTGAAGCAACACCACATCGTCACATCTTGCATACTGAAATAACGATGAAATATCGCCGACTTGAACACATTGTCGAAAGTAACATAAAAATAACGTAAAGAGGCACAACAATAATTCTTTCCATGAAATGCAGCTCATTTCATACTATAGTTGACTCCACACATCCAGGACAAACTCTTTGTGAGTCACGTTCAGAATCGCTGCTAATGCATTCTCAGAATCGCCTTCTTGTGGCCGACTTCTCATCTAAAGAAACTGACCCTACCAACAGCGCAGCAGCCTGTGACCATGACTGAGGTGTCGCGCTGCCCCAAAGCCCGACCCAAGAAGAGTTATATCAGCATAATCGCGCGCTACTAGGGTAATGCTACGAGCGGTCTGGCACAAAACACAAATGGTGCGCACTTAACCCGCCATCCGCCGCAAATGAGAGGAAAATTCCCAACGAAAACAAAACAGAGGAATTTCCACAGACGGCTGTTCTAAACTAGTGTCCACTACGGCCCCGTAGTCGGTAACGCGCCCGGCCATTGACCGCTTTCAATCGCTGTTCATAGATGGCAGTAGTAGTGGGCGCCTGAAGTTATGCTGTACCGCAAAGCCCCTGTGCGGCCAGTAGAAACGATACAGGCCTCCACAGCACTCATGAGCCGAGCTACAATTAGAAACGTGCTTACTTTTTATGCAAATGCATGTTCATGATTCATACGTTAATTAACCCGCGCACCGACGGGGGTCTGCGCCAACTTCGCACCGACGGGGGGAGGGGGGGCGGATGACCCCCCCCCCCTGAGATCTCGAGAACGAAGCAAGATAGCGACAAGCGGTAAACGGCATCGGATACGCACGGACAAGGTCTACAATTTTTACAAAGGTCATTTTCAGGTCATGTCAAAGATGACGTCACAGGGGTCGAAAAAGTCAAAATGGCGGCGCTAGATATGGAGAGAGTTTTTCTCGAATAACTTTCGAATTAGTCAAGATAGGAACAAACTAAGGGCATCATCGTGATCCTCTCGTCAATCCGCATCGAATGATGTATATGTTGACCTCGAAAGGTCACGGTCAAAGGTTGACCTCAGGTCACGTGACCTCGAGGTCATCATGTATATCATTCGATGCGTCTTGACGAGCTGAACACAATGAGACCATCCGCGCGGCTGTATCTTGTTCCTGTAGGGAGTTATAAGCAAAAAACCTTTGGTGACCTTTGATGACGTCACATGACCTTACAGCTGCCCAACAGCAAAACAGACCTCAAGGTAGTGAAGGTTGATCGTATATGAAGTCATGTATGGTATATGGGGCCATTCCGACCCGTTTTAGTGGTAAAAACAGGGAGCTGATTTTTCCCCCATTGACTTATAATGGGGACGTCGCGAAATTGACCTGACCTTAGGTCACCGATATCAAAATTCCGAGATATACAAATTGTAGCTGCTAATGATCTAATAACATCCTGCGACTTTCAAAGGCCTCCAACATCTACTGTAGCTCTGGCACGGTGACAAAGTTGCAAAAAGTGACTTGAGGTTGGGTCATTCAAAGTGACCTGGTGACCTGACCTTAAAAGTTAGGAGGTTCAATCTTGCACACCATGTGTAAAATTGATGAGAGAATAGTCGTACCAAATTTCGCGGCGCGGCTTTCCCGCTATCCGCGAAAAACCTCAGGGGGGCGGATATCCCCCCCCCCCGTCGGTGCGCGGGTTAAAATAACTCGACTGCATAATACTATATGTGTATTGTGTATATTGCTGAATATCTTTACCAAAAGTATTATCATTATAGCCGTCTATATACTGACCTTTGACCCGAGCGTGACGACCCCGCTGCGTGACCTCGCCAGGTTGAAGGTCAGCTGGACGGTGCCGTTGGCGAGGCCGACGCTGAAGAAGTTGGCGTCCACGGAGCCAAGCCGGCCCTGCCAGGCGATTAATCCCTCGGGGTCCGTGGTTCGGAGGTGGAAGCTGAGCCGGTTCGACTTCTGTCGCTTACGACTGCGGGGTAATAGACGAAGGGTGTCATCAGCCGGAAGTGCAGGTCTTACAGGGTGTTCCATAAGTTCGTTCTCACCTAAATTTTACGTTTAGAGGCTCTCTTGCCTAAAGGCACGCTGAACTTGGCTCGTAACTGAGCTTACGCGGTTGCCGTGGCTGGTAGCAATATGCTTCACAGTAACTAATTTCTCTAGACAAAATATTTTTTTGCTAGAGAGTCCACTTCCTGCAGAGACGGCTAGCGCCGCAACATAGAGGTCTCCGATACGGGTACGTCTCGGTATTTAGTCAGCACGTGACCATTCGCGACGATTGAGGGTGATTGAAGCCAACCAGTCTGTAGCCAATAATGTCTGTCGCTAACTGTACGCACAGTCATCAAGTGACACCGATGATTTGTCGGGAGTCAATCACTGCAAGTTTATCCTCTTTCCAGTCAGCCCTCAGTAGTGAGCCATGTGTCGAAAACTGTCTGACGTCAAAGTGGCCATCAAAAAGGTCAAAATGTTTAAAGTTTATTATCTGGCTTTTTAGGATGGATTACCAGCTGTCTAAGAATATTTTTTGGGGTACATAACTCAAGGTGACTTAAGCTTAAGACTTACTGGAGGATTCAAAACAGTCGAAAATGTCTTAAAATGGCCAAGCATGTGTTCCGTTATGCCTGAGGCTAAAAAACTGGAGGGCCGATGACATCAATGTGGTCATCTGGACTACCTAGTCCATGTTCGAGATGAAACACTCGTCCAAACCCTAAAACGGTCCCATAAAGGCGAAAGAGAAGGTCTCCGTTTCGTCCCGCTTTGTTCCTATGCAAAAGGCCGGGGTCACGGTATTGCGGGGTTATAGGCCTCCAGACGCTGACCAGGATGTGATTGGTACTCCAGAGACAGTTTTGGGACGCAGAATGCTTCTGCAAGAAGACCTGTAAGGAATTTCAGCGTTCTAGCTTAACTCAAAACGCAAGTATGAACACAAATTTGGAGAAGAAAATGGCATCCGGAAGGCCGTAGGCCCATCTTCAAGCGAGACACTGCATCGGCAAACAGGTCAAGGAAAGCTCAAAAGCGGTGCCAGGAGATTGTGACAGGCATCTGTCGCAAGATCATTTGTCAGGCAACTCATGGGATCCAAAATTTCATGAAAATACGCTGGGGATACTGAAATCTTGGCTCGTCGAAGCGAAACGCCGTTCCAGCCGCCTCCAGGAGATCACGGCGAATGTTATAGCCCTGGCCGAGGATTGATGCAACCCCCCCCCTAAAGATTTCTCAAAGATAGCGTAAAAACGGCGGCGTGCAGCGCCGCCAAATTTGGCACAGCCTATGGGGCAACCTTTTTACATATGACCTGAAAATTTCAGATCCGAGTGATCTTGGGTCAGGTCACCAGGTCAGAAAAACCGGTACAAGGTCATGGTCAAATTTCAATTTTCGTTTTGCACCTGTCCAACTCACAGTTTTGGACTGATTTCCTTCAAACTTTCAGGATGTGCTAAGTTCACCCAGTTGTATAACATATAGTTCGTTTTTTATGTTACTGACCTGAGGTCAGTTAGAGGTCATTACGTCGTAATGTTAAGCCTATGGGAAAATAATAAATTCGGAAAATAATAAATTGGAGATATCCGCTTCGTTTTATCACTTTTGTGCTTTGAAACCATATTAATTAACAGCAGGTCACTTGGTTCTCCTTTGTTTGGTTTACTTATCCATGGGTCAGGTCAAATGAGGTCAACTGAGGTCAAATAACGTTTTTGCCAATAACTTGGCACATAATGACGCTAGATCTTAAAAAATGGTGTCATTGTGTTCCTGGTGATCAGCCGATTCGAATGATATGCAATATGATGCAATTTGGTTAATTTGAACTTAATTAATTAATTAAACTTTACTTAAAAATTAAGAAAAACTTTAAATATACTTCAGCAAGCAAAAAAGCATATTATTCGACGCGCCTTGACGTGCTGAGTTCACTGGTGCTTTTAGTTTTTCTCTATCCTAATTAGATAAAAAGTTTTAAGCGAAAAATTGACCTGTTTTTAGCGAAATTTTTACATTTATACCCCCCCCCCCCAAACCCCCTAAATATTGACCTAGAGCAACCAAATTTGCACAGGGGCGAGAACTCCAGGGGGCCCACCTACCTACCAAATTTGGTGTTTCTAGGTGCCATAGGAGCCAATCGCGAGGGGGGTCGCATCACCCCCCCCCCCTGCCAGGCCGTGTTATGAAAAATGCCCTGCCAGGGCGAGGGTTAAGTCATTATGGGCTAACTTCAAGCCTGCCACGCTGCGAAACATGCCGGTTGGCATGCTGCAGCATGTACTCATGTGTTTGGCCATGAAATGAGGAGCACATTGACATGTCATAAATATATCAAAACGCAATGTACTCTGCTTTACGTGCAAATTTAAAGTGAGAACGAACTTATGGGACACCCTGTATACCATAATAAATGCTGGAAACACCAACTTCGAGAGCTTTAAGAGGAAGTTCGTCATCCTCTGGGCCTTACATAAAAAATAGATATCTCAAAATAATGCAGATATCATGACAGATGCCCTAGCACCTTCAGCATCGAAAACTGGACAATAAAGCCAGGCTGCACGTTGCATAACCATCCATATGATTCCCCGCCGGGAGGCATCACTGGGCTTCATGCGGGGGAGGGGAGGGAGGCTGCTGTCAGAAGAGCTGACAGGAGGCGGAGTGGTCAGGGGGAGGGGTCAGGGGTCGGACTACTGGCGGCTAACGGTCCGGATACAGTCGTCATCCCGCGACGCCCCCCGGCCCGCTGGGCGGCCCCGTCTGGACGGCAGAGTTACGACTTACGACAGCCCGCCGTTGGCTCGGCTCAACAGTCAGTGTCGCTATACGGCCGACAGTGCGGGCTGAGTCACGGCCTGGGGAGTGGGCGGCTCATACAGAACTGCGACTCCAAAACAGGATGCAGGTATACTATGATGGAATCTACATAAACTGTTGGGTCATAGATAAATGTGACGGTGTTCAATAACACATTTATTCAATAGGCCCTGATGGTTGGTCGCACTTATAAAACAGCACGCATCGTCACCCTTTTCTGGGCTGATGCATTGCGGGGGCCTCATTCCTCACTCCTCAGCCCAGTACAATACTGGCTAGGAACAAAGGAGCAACTCTTCCTCTCCTCCCTTCCTCTCTCTCTCTCTCTCTCTCTCTCTCTCTCTCTCTCTCTCTCTCTCTCTCTCTCTCTCTCTCTCTCTCTCTCTCTCTCTCCCCCTCTCCTAAAAATGATAGCAGCCCAGCCCATCTGGCGAGCACGACTGCGAAGCTAAGCAGTAGTACGGTGGTACTGTCAGCAGCTCTACCTTGTTACCACATCACGAGTGCGCGCCTCCCATCACAGAGCCGGCAATAACACTCTACTATCACGACCAGGCTGTTATCACGGAAGGTAGCGATAGCACCCTCACCGTCTGGCGTGGCCACTATCACACAACGTAGCAATAGCAGCCGGAATTCAATTATCCGGCGCCAGCTAGCATTGTATGAGAGAGGTCATGGGGTACTAGATAATGACGTTAAAGATATACGCGTATCACGCACCGCTTAAATAGACACCAGACATCTCTATGGTATCGGGGCCTTGATCCTTCTCAACATTGATTCAGGTAATATTCATGGAAGGCGGACGGATTTAGGTAGATGGAATTTCTACTGGGACGATTATGCGGTTTGCTGTTAAATGTCAGTTTAGTTGAGAGCTGCAATCGAAACAATGCATGAGTTGCATTGTCACTGAAGTCACTTGGAAACATCAACTGCGAAGTGCATTGATCAGCATGTCGTGACAGCACTCTGCCGCTGGGCTCGCCACTTCTGAATCCGCACCAAGTATGCATTCCATTTTCTCACGACCACTGAAAATCTGTATATTTATCGCCATTTCGTGGATCCTTTATTGTCCACCGGAAACATTCGCATCACTTATCTTTTCGCCCGTAAAATAAAACGGCCCTAATAATAGCATTAATGCATCATTCAGGCTTCGGTGGAGACATGTTTTCGGCCGCCTGGCTAGCTCGCCAGCGTTCATTAGTCCATCGAAAGCGTTCAAATAATATCTGACAGCCCTGTCGGCATCCAAAGGCATTATCTGTGGTCGTTAGACCGCCGATGAAGTTTTGGACAGCGGTGTCGGTCGCGACCGCACCCTGGCGCCGGCCAGGCCAGCCAGTAAACGGATTACCAGCCCACTGGGCGACCGAATGTCGATATCAAACTTGTCCCTTTGGAAGGGCGGCAACCCCGTCACATGCAATCCTGTGTGTTGAATGACTTGTAATGTGGATGTTTGCACTTATGCTGAGAATGTATTACTGACGAAACGGCCTACGGTAATCTCTTCCGTATAATATGTGTTCGGCAAAACCACACCAATCTGGTGAACATTCTTGTTCAGAACATGACAGATAAAACGCAAAATAATAAAAGTAGTAACTCACGCTCGACGGATCATATTGGGCAGCAGCACGAACGCCTTCCCGTTGAAGTGTACGGCGTCACTCTGTCGTCTGGCGGTGACTCGGTCCAACCGAGTCCGACGCACTTCTGAAACACGAGTGGAGGGTTTTGCATTCCAGCAGCCATCCATAGGAATGTTGCTAGGAGGGCAGGCACAGGGCAGATAGACCCAAATACAAACAAACCACTAGAGGGGTAGGTACGGGTAGTTAGAGAAGCTTGTTAAGAACGATTAGCCACAAAACTAAGGACACACGATAAGAAGCACTTGAGTGAAACATACCAACGGCAACAAGGTACAGCTAGTAATTCAAATTTGGTTGAAAAGTGTGCTAGATTTGTGATGCTAATAATGCTGAAATTCCTTCGTTTGTGTCTGTAAGTTTTGTTGTGCATCTGAGGAGTCGCTTGAATAACAGCCTAACCTAATGCGATGTTTTGTACAGGGATATTAAGTAGAGTACTCGTATGTCTATAAGCTGGCTGGCAAGTGATTGCATTTGGGAGATACCTGGAGACTGGAAGACGTTCATTTTACGTATGTGAGCAGCCGGAGGCTATATATCAATCGAGTCGATAATTGGAAGCCTCCTGATTCGCAGCTAACGGAAATTTATAGACTGATGTTGTAGGAAATCGTTACCCATTGATATGCTGAACATTTCACGGCCTCAAACAGCTGAGGAAGATACATCTGATGTAGCTTTCGTAAGCTTGGAAAACATAGCGTCGTCGACAAAATGCTGAACTAAAAATAAAAAGACGGTGACGTCAATGGCGATCTATTCATAGACGCTGTCTGGCAATGAGTACCTTTATCATTTTTTTTCAAGAAGTTACAGCGAGTGCTTGCAAACTTTGGTGACTGGTCCAGCGTCACAAAGTCCAGTGCCTGTCAACCCTTACCATATAAATTCAAATTAACAAAATTTCAAAACATTGCCGTCCGTCTTACTTTTGTGGCAGTGCCGTCCGGTGTAGCTCTTCGTGCACTGGCAGATATAGTTGGCCAGCCGGGGCAGACAACGGCCACCGTTTTTGCACGGACTGCCACCACAGGGAGCGCCGATATATCTGAAACAAGCGATGTGGTGTGAATGTAAGCGAGCAGAGAGAATGAGGAAGAAACACACACTAGGGAAAGGCTCTAGAAAATACAAATATGTCATCATTTACTGACGCATATATGAAGGAAAACAAACCGAACGTTGTGTACTTATATCAAATGTCAGTTCAGTCATAGACCTCTGTATACAGAGGTATATGGTTCAGTCTTATCATCTACAGCTCAATTTATGAACAACTAAAACCTTCGTTTGCTTCTTCCCACTGCCAAAATTCAAAAATTGATCACCTTTCCAGCCCGATACCCTCTCCAGTCACGGTACGATCACCACTCTCTAGTCAGTACCCGAGCATAGCCCGCTCTTCCTTCCGTTCCAGCAGCGGATGGGGCTCCCGCTGGCGGCTCGGCCGGTCTCGTGACCCGCACCTCGCCGCCTGCACACGCCAGTCCCCCGAGGTCTCACATAGCGCCGTATAGTGGCCCAGTGCACACAGGGCCGATCGCCAGGTCTAGCACGACATGGGCAAAAAAATCGAACTTTGTGGATGTGCAATGAAACCTATACCAATTTGTTCAGAAATGATCATACTACACTGCTGTGGTCTTTGTTTTCCAACACAATTGCTATTTCATGGCGAAAACTCAGCTTAAACACGAACTTCGGAATCGTTTGGACCGAACTCGTCCCCCGCACTCTTCGACAACGTATCTTTGATCCGCGAAAACAATCACAATTTGAGGAGGAATTCCACATTTATATACATCAAACGATAGCTCCGGGTCTGCAGAACACACATAACCACATCAAAATGGCGAACTCTTACTTGGTTATGATGTATTGGCACCGCAAAGATTAAAAGAAGAAAATATAATTTCACATGATTGATGTCACACACAAATAGACTTTTAAAAAAAGTACCGCAGAGTACCGCTTCGAAAATCTCGCTACATGTCAATGATTCATTGCACTACAAGATCCAACAGTCATTTTCTGCGACTTTTTGCGACTTTGGATGTAGCAGCCAAACATCAACCCGCGCCGGACCGGTGCTCGGCGTCAAACGCGCCGGGCCGGGAGGTGTTGATTGAACACTCCCCTTCTAACTCGGCTCTTGGGCCACATAGCGACACGTAGTAAGTGGCATTCGAAAGAGCGCCCGAAATTCCAGATGGAGTAATTAGTCATTTCTAGGTCAGGTCAAAGGTCACGTCACCAGAGGTCATCAAAGGTAAAATGTTGCATTTATCAACACTTATCGAAAACCGGCTCTTACCTCGGGGACCAATAGAGCTACATCGTCGCGGAAAAGTGCATTCAATTGCTCTTTTAGCGGTCCTTCTGAAATAAGCCCTCAGATTTGGCTTAACCCTCGCTCCTAGTGGTGTTTTTTCCAGCCGCGAACGTATAGAAGGGGTCCGCCGTTTCGCCCTTCGACCCCCCGCCGTTTCGCCCCTGATCGAGCTAGAGCTTCGCGGAAAAGACGAGCGTGTTGCCCGTGACAAGAGGAAGCTGATGATACCCAATTGTAAGGCCCTAGGTCATCGGTTGACCTTCCAGGTCAGGTCAATGACCCAAAAGTCGGGAAAATCGGGACCTGTTAGAACGTCGTAAAGGGTGGCTGCTATGGGTTTTTTGGGTGCTGATCACGAATATAATATTATTTACGAGCATAGATGATGTCTTCATACATTTAGGCCAGGTCGGGTCAGGTCAGGTCAGGTCAACTAGTAAGGGTTTTGCCGGGTATTTGCAGTAGGTGGCAACCGCCTCTGACAGCTTCGCAACAGGTTACGAATGCACCAAAGCTACATAGTAAATGTTCAAATGGTTGCTAGATTCGAATTCAGCTAAAAAAAAACTAGCCTAGAAACATGTAAAACTCGAAAAAGTGAACCAAGGTCATCAGAGGCCAATGACCTTACGTGACCTTCTGGTGACCTTGACACCCACCCTAATGCATGGGAGCAACATAATATCCCATGCTTGAACGCTTTAAACCAAGAAAAGACTGCAAACCCGCGGCTAATGCGGGCCCACATACGCTGAATCGCGATTCCGGCCAAACATGGTCTCGAAAGAAGGTCACAGGTCAAAGATCATTAAGGTCAGGGTCATGAAATTTTCAGGTTAGCTGTAAAAGTAGTCGTCGCGAGGGTACTGAAAGTTTCGTTGCGATCGGCCGCTTTTTACGCGAATTACTCGCGAAAAACCAAGGGTTCCGTTCGAAGATTCAGGCCCTGTCGCGCTAGAATGGCATATCGGCCCACTGTGCAGTGGCTCATCCACCGCCGGGCTCACCGTGCGCTTACAGTGCCAAAGTAATCAGATGGCGCCGCCGTGTCACGGCACGCACGCCGCATTAACGAAGCGCCCCTCAAAGCATGTGCAAACAAACAAAATACCACACGCGCAAAGATGAAAAGCGGATAAGTCCTTATACGGCTTTGTGAAGGACAAGCTCATTTGAAATTCTGAGAAAGTGAAAAGGCAAATTCTCATTATTAGGGCATCAAAATTGACTTGCACATACCTATTTCATTTGAGGGCGTAGTGGGGGATTCTAGGACATATCAGGATGCTAAAATGATTGGCATAACTACACAGTCCATTATATAAAAGAACCAGACGCTAATTGCCATACTATTGATTTTTGTTTCCAAGATGGAAAATCGGGAGGCTTCAGAAAGACAATTCGTTTTCACGGAAATAACACGCAGTATTGATGTCAAACATTTAGACGCATGGAAAATGGTGACGCAATCAAACCACAGGCTATCCTACAAATAAGGCAGTTTATACGAGTGGATGCCCTTCATGCTTTATTTCAAAACAACCCATTATGATATTGAGGCTATCCTCAAATGGAGATCATGAGCTAACGTCTGAAACCGTCCCGTCAAGCTTAAGTAATCAAACGGATGTATTGTCATCGGTCCTCCAGACCAGCCGCCAAAGAAATAAATCGATAAGCTCAGACACAGAACCCCCACAGCAGCTTAGCAGACGGTGACAACCAAAGTTTAACGCCGCAAGTACGCAATTAAGGAGCCCTAAAGCGGACAAACTGCGGCATAATGCTCCGAGAAGGCCAATAAGCAGATAGAGTTATGTTCCACTAGCTCCTTAGCAATGTCACATCTGCATAATCAATACAAAGGGCATGTCCGATGACCGACAGTGCGTCAAGGCAGAGATAATCCAGATTATTTATTTTCAATTGTTATGAAAGGTGTGACATACAAGAAGCCAAAAATACTTACCGGCATTGAGTATGATGTTTGGCGTTGTTCAGTGTTGTGGTTGACACATATCTGTTACCACAAAAACCGATGCAGTATACACCAACTCATCGATACCTATATCGAATGTTTAACCCGCGCACCGACGGGGGTCTGCGCCAACTTAGTACCGACGGGGGGGGGGGGGCGGATGACCGCCCCCCCCCCTGAGATCTCGAGAACGAAGCAAGATAGCGACAAACGGTAAACGGCATCGGATACGCACGGACAAGGTCTACAATTTTTACTAAGGTCATTTTCAGGTCAGGTCAAAGATGACGTCACAGGGGTCGAAAAAGTCAAAATGGCGGCGCTAGATATGGAGAGGGTTTTTCTCGAATAACTTTCGAAGTAGTCAAGATAGGAACAAACTAAGGGCATCATCGTGATCCTCTCGTCGATCCGCATCGAATGATATATATGTTGACCTCGAAAGGTCAAGGTCAAAGGTTGACCTCAGGTCACGTGACCTCGAGGTCATCATGTATATCATTCGATGCGTCTTGACGAGCTGAACACAATGAGACCATCCGCGCGGCTGTATCTTGTTCCTGTAAGGAGTTATTGGCAAAAAACCTTTGGTGACCTTTGATGACGTCACATGACCTTACAGCTGCCCAACAGCAAAACAGACCTCAAGGTAGTGAAGGTTGATCGTATGTGAAGTCATGTATGGTATATGGGGCCATTCCGACCCGTTTTAGTGGTAAAAACAGGGAGTTGATTTTTCCCCCATTGACTTATAATGGGGAGGTCGCGAAATTGACCTGACCTTAGGTCACCGACATAAAAATTCCGAGATATACAAATTGTAGCTACTAATGACCTAATAATATCCTGCGACTTTCAAAGGCCTCCGACATCTACTGTAGCTCTGGCACGGTGACAAAGTTGCAAAAAAGTGACTTGAGGTTGGGTCATTCAAAGTGACCTGGTGACCTGACCTTAAAAGTTAGGAGGTTCAAACTTGCACACCATGTGTAAAATTGATGAGGTTATAGTCATACCAAATTTCGCGGCGCGTATTTCCCGCTATCCGCGAAAAACCTCAGGGGGGCGGATATCCGCCCCCCCCCCCCCCGTCGGTGCGCGGGTTAAGAATTCGTTCAACAAGCCAAAACAAAACAAGCGCAGGATGCTTTGCTGCGGAGATCACGCAGTGTAGGACTGACCTGGTGATTTTACTGGAGAACGTTGCCTCGGCCATGAGGTCAGTGATGAGCGCCCCATTGACGCCCACTGCTTGAATGGCTCCGTCCAGACCTCGTCCAGCGCCCCCGAACGACGGACTGGTCGACAGACCCGGGCTGAAAACGCAGGAAATTAAGCTTCAGCCACGATGTATTAGAGCAACAAACCAGGCGACAATACGGTATTCTATTTTTTTAGCTCTCCTGATTTCCTGAAGCGTTGAACATTCATAATATGTAACGGTGGAGACAGAAGGAAGGGCTATTTTCAAATAAGAAGTTAGTCACATCAGAGCTTGTAAAATTCAGCACGAAGAGAATCTAGGAAAAACGCTATAATTGCTTTGGCATACACCAGCCTAAAACAGCTCTCATGAATACAACACAATCTTAGTGAGCAAAGAAATGTAGAAAAGAGCGACAAAGCTTACTGGCTCATCACTCAATACTCTGTACTCACTCTAGCCCGCCAATGAACAGAGGTAGATCCAGGTTCAGTTCGTTCAGATGACCCGGAGCAGAGCCGCGCGAAATAGTACCGTTTCCGACCTGAAGCGAGCCGTCCTGGTCGAAACGGGTGAGCTTGACAGAATGCCACTGGTTGAGGGCAATGGTATGACTCGATCTGAAAAAGAAAATGTTTATGGTTACTAGTTTATGTCATACAACCATTGCCGACTCGGAGTGCTTTGGGGATAGGCAACACAGACACATCTTGGTACGTTTCTTCTGCATTTTCATGATGACTAAAAGAGGGAAGAAAATATAATCTCTCACAAAATAAGAGGGAGCTTGGTTACGCTAGTCACGATGTAATACTCTAAATCAAGTGATGACTGGCAAGGTAAATTGCGGTATGGCCTTGGCGGTAACCAAGGCCCTATATAGAAGGTATGCTCATTAGGCCGAAGCAGCGATTTCCGTGACGTCACTGGTACGAAGGGTCGGACGGCTGTAATGCAATCCTATGGAAAATGACCCAACTTTAGGGCTCTCCCACATAGCTGCCAACCTCGACACTAAGGTAAAAGTTATATCACATAAAAGCTCAAATCAAGACGAACAAGAAACCTATCTGACGTTTTTACGTATTACTAACGGCTTAGACTCTATTCAAGTATATTCAGAGCTCTGCATTACCTCACTTTTTCTGCCGTCAATGCCACTACAAATGTCTAGTCGGCGCACGTGCGCTTGTCGAGCGGGGACCACCAGTCGGGCGATTCAGAGCTGCCGCCCAATCAGAACGCCGCAATGCCGTGACGTCATTGGTCGCACACGACACGTTACGGAGATAGGGATGAGACAGCCCTGGGCGGTAACTGAGGAACTGAGGACAATAGCGCATCTCTGATTTGTGTGAGTGCTTGCTTTCTTTGAAACAAAGCTGCGAAAGCTTATTTTTGTGGAGGTGGTATCGTTTATCAAACTCATAACGCACGCATCGCACAATCAGACATGTTCACTATGTACCCCGCTATATTGGTAGCCTCTTTCATTTGGTGCGTCGTATGCTTGGTTGTCATAGTCGCCGTCTGCAAGAAAAAGCCAGATGCAAAAACCGTACAAGAAGATGATCCTTCGGTGGTCAGCTCCTTTATGATGGAATCCAATGAGTGAGTACTATTTCATGTTGCATTTCATTCTTGGCATACGAAACAGTGAAGCTACGAACGACTCAACTGAGCAAAGCTTGATAAATAAATAGCTGATCAATCTAGGTATATCAATTTAAATAGGGAGCAAATTGATTAGCTTTTCGTTGTAATGAACGCTAATATAACATGCCATCTTCTGGCAATATTCAGGACTGATTTAGTGATAGGTACACTCGGGGGCAGATTGATGTTCCACCACTCCCTATCCATCGGGCTCCCATGGCTCAGCACTGGCTGCTGCCATTGGCAGCACTGGCAGCAATGGCACTGGCAGGCAGTGCTGAGCAGTGCTGAGGGCAGGCAACACTGGCAGCAGCCAGTGCTGAGCCATGGGAGCCCGATGGGTTGGGAGTGGGGGAGATCTGCCCCCGAGTGTACCATGGCAATCTGAAGTTCTGCGTAAAAGATATAATAAATAAAGTCCACAGCTGCAAAAGGCAATGAACTCAAACGATAGTGAACGTAAAGGTCTTATGGAACACACCAACTCTGTGGAAAATAATGCATTGGAGACATCAAACTCACTGTGTCAGTTTCATGCGTTATAGAAATGCCTGTAAAAAGCGAAGGCAGCCTGCAGCAATCTGGGAGAGATTAAAATCGAGAGGGTGAACCGGGGTTAGTCTAGATACGTAAACTTAGTAGAAACAGTGGAAAAGATTGGACACAGAAGGGGAAAATGAGAACGGAAGTGAAGAGCAATGGACAGGTAAGAGAGAGAGAGACAGAGAGAGAGAGAGAGAGAGAGAGAGAGAGAGAGAGAGAGAGAGAGAGAGAGAGAGAGAGAGAGAGAGAGAGAGAGAGGAGAGGGTGCGAG